TCTCTCTCTCTCTCTCTCTCTCTCTCTCTCTCTCTCTCTCTCTCTCTATCTATCTCTAACTCGATCCCCATTCCCTTTCATTTCTTTTCTATTCTCAATCCATTTCATTCTTGGTAAGGTGAGGTGAGGTTATTTTATGCTTCGAAAACATTTAAGCACTTTTTCCTGGAAATTACGATGATACGATGGCTCATCTTACCGCACGTGCTCCCCCGTAATCACATGCAATAACAATTTATTTAGAAATCATTGCGTATGTGTATCTGTTTTACCGAAGCACTGAACATTTTTATTTCTTTCGACAAAATTGGACCATATTCAATAAAATAACGCATAAACATTTTTGATCGTCAGAAAAATTGGTTTTTTTTATTGAAGAAGAAATTTTTAACAATTTTAGGTATTTTTTTTTAACTAGCGATTTGATAAAGAAAAGGAAAAAATTCAATTAAAAAGGAACTCTATAATTAAAATTTCAACAGCAACACGGATGACAGACTTGTACAAAGTTCATTTCATTACAATTCATTTTTACATAAATCCAATAATTTTGTGTCAAATCCCTTATTACATTTAAAATGTGTGTATACAATTGCCAGCAAACTTCGCAATTTTGTGGTTTCATACCGAAAATTGTTTATATAACCATTGATTTCTCCTTCAGATGGAAAAAGAAAGGAAAAACGAGAACGGTACAGAGGAATCGACTTCAAATTGTACACACATAGAGAAAATTCGAAGGGGCGGAGCCAAAATATTAGCAAGTACACAAACCAAATCTTTTTAATTCATACTGTGAATTTGACGAAATGTATCGTTTTCAATCCGTCTACCGTACAATAGTTTTCTACTTTTTTGACAAATAAATTGGAAAACTTAGAACTATTTGGATTTGAGGTTAGCTCCTTCGCCAATAGCATAAATATAGTCAAAGGTAAAAAGACTTCAAGAAACACTTTTCAAACGATAAATTTTGCCATTGAATGGTAACCTTCTCCATTCACTTTATTCAATGTAGAAATGGAAATGGAGTTGGTTTATAATAAATAAAGCTTACGCTATGAATGTATTTTTGTTGCACATCTAAATTCCAAAAGTTTTACAAGTAAAAGAAATGCGTGAGATGTTACAATGTTTGTGACTATTTGTTCAACCTCCGACTTATTTTAATTAATGGAATTTTCAAAAAGTAGCACTTTGTATAAGTTGTAGCAAATGATAACGGCAATCAGATTGCTTAATAAAATAGAGCTATTATTAGATTGAATGTATTCCATTTATTATTATTGTTGTAGATTATTCCTTGCGCTATCAATAATATACGTTCCGTCTTTTTCTCAATCTTTGGCCAATAATACCCTAATTATCAACTGTACTTTTGATAACCTGAACAATTCTGTCTCACATAAATGTGCATAAAATCGTCTAGACCGTTTTATAGCCGAAGATTGTATGTGCAATTGCGTTCAAAATTTCATTCAGTATCAGACGTTTGTAGAAATACCATCTTTTTCACTCGGAGAATTACTTTTAAATCTTTTCTTTTTTTTGTTAACGTAATTACAATTGCCGGTTAAAAAATTTGCTTTTAAAAATGGTGCGTTTGTTCGTAAGTGATCGTATATTTATTGATGAGGATCTTTGTAACGGTGGTATTGTTGTAAATAACGATGGAAAAATTGAAGAAGTATTCAAAGATCCGATTGAGGTCGAAGAGTGGTTGGATGCAAATAGTCATACTGAGGTAAATATATACGATTTTTCGGATGAAATATTGAAATATGATTACAAATATTTAATTCTTTTGTTCACAACTTCCCTTTTATTTTTTCCCAATAATAAGTTGTACGACTATACGAATCTTGTAATAATGCCTGGTCTTATCGATACACATGTACATATAAATGAACCCGGCCGGACTGCGTGGGAGGGTTTTGAGACGGCAACAAAAGCTGCGGCCGCTGGAGGCTTTACCTCGCTAATAGACATGCCGCTGTAAGAATACAATTTGATTCAATAAATTTGAAAGAGAGAAGTTTTTCGAAATGATTGTAATATACGAATTGAGTAATCGTTCATGTTTGCATATAGAAATTCAATTCCGCCAACGACAACCGTTGAGAATTTGTTAAAAAAACAAAAGGCAACCATTGGAAAAATTTGCACTGATGTCGGTTTTTGGGGTGGACTTGTTCCGGGCAACGAAAACGAATTGAAGAAACTGCTTCAGGCAGGTGTCGTCGGATTTAAATGCTTTTTATGTCCACTAAGCGATGAATATTTTAATAGCGTTACCGAAGCAGAAGTTGAACTTGCCATGAAACATTTGGAAAATACGAATGCATTGGTTGCTGTAAGTCACTTAATATTAATTATTCTTTAAATCATGAAGTGATCAATTTACTTTCGCAATCAGTTTCATGCCGAAAAATGCGACGATGAGTGTTGTGATGTTGACGAAAATAATGGTGATATTCATGATTTCAAAACATATTTGAAAACTCGACCTGCTTCCTTGGAGCTCAACGCCATTGAAATGATAACTCGCGTTGCTCAGAAATATAACAGGTAAAAAAATAATTTTGAATCGAAAAATTCTGGAAAGATTATATAAAAATGATCAAATTTCCAGTGTTCGAATGCATATTGTTCACTTGTCATCAGCTGATGCATTACCACTGATAAAAAAGTGTCGTGAAATTGTCGGAAATCGTTTGACAGTCGAAACGTGTCATCATTATTTGAACTTCACGGCTGATGATATTCCCCAAAAAGGCGTTGAGTTCAAATGCTGTCCACCAATTCGAGACGCTAATAATCAAAAACAACTTTGGAATGCTTTAAAAAGCCGCGATATAAATATGGTTGTGTCAGATCATTCACCATGTCCACCGGAACTCAAATTCCTTACAGATGGTCCAGATTTTGGAAATATGATGAAAAGCTTTTGTGGAATTTCTTCCGTTCAATTTGGTAGGTCAATCTGAAAAAGTTAAAAGAACGATTTCATTGAATGCTTCAAGAATTCTTTTAAACATTTTCAATAAAATAAAATGTAACAATTTCAAATAGGACTATCGGTGTTCTGGACCAGTTGTGAGAAACACAACATGGATATAAGTGATATGGTTCATTTGATGTCAGTTGAGCCGGCCAAAATGTGCGGATTTGAGAATCGAAAAAGTAAATTAGCCAAAGGATACGATGCCGACATGTGTATATGGGATCCATCAGGTGAATTTGTTGTTACACCCGACATCGTTCACTTTCGCCATAAGGCCAATCCATACATGGGGAAGAAATTAAAAGGTCTTGTTCATGCAACAATTGTTCGCGGTAATTTTGCATATCGTCGATCTGACAGAGAAATATTCAATTTTGTTGGACAAATGCTCTTGAAATGAATTCTTAAACATAGATCAATTGATAATTTTCCTCAAATAAGAAAAATATAACTTCTCGAAGATGTAAGAAAACATACTATCTCATAAAAACAACTTAACCGTCTCCATTTAACCGCCTTGAAAAAGTTCCAATTTATAATTTAAAATAAAAAAATCAAATGTTCAGTTGGATTTAAATAAAAAATATCAATTTCGAATGGTATTTTCGGTGATTATGGTTTTACTTTAATTCAATATTTATTTCTTACCGAAAAAGTGTCCGCAAAAAATTTATGGATCCATATTTATTGAGGTCATTTGCTAAAGATTCTTTTTCAGCGATAAAATATTATCACCAAAATGCGATGAATCGCATGTCATTCCGTACAAGTTCAATTGCTCATAAATATACAGAGACATGGAGAAAAAAAAGTTCGAGAGTAGTGAAATAATAAAATAAACAACGAATAGGACCGCATTGACGTTACGACATAGAAAATCGACAAGGTAGGCAACTGTTGTACATAAACAGAAATAAAAAAACACGTAATTCTCTGTCAAAATGTCAGAAAAATAGAGTCGCATACAACCAATACAACGAAACTGAATAAAATCGGATCGCAGAATAGAGAGCTGGAATCACACAGCGCGATGGTTGCGTGAACGACTGAATGTTGGTTTGAGCTGTGCATGTGATGGTGATGTTGTCAACGTTTTGTTGCGTCGTCGTCGAATGCGCAACTACGTTTTAAGTTGTTGTTTTTTTTTCTTCTTCCTCACACGGTGTGCGCGCACATTTATCTCGTACCGTGTACAATATGAAATACAACTACAACGAAACGAAACCACTATCTGAACGTGTGCAACGCAAATACCCTCGAACCAGTGTCATTTCAGATATTCTACTTCATAGTTGGTTAGGTTTTCGATTTTATTCCTGGTTGAAATCTTAATCATCATTTTATTTAAGTGTATTTTTTTGTGAAATTCCATTGAATCGAGGTGAATTAGACTTAACCAAATTTTCTTTATTTTTAATGTGGTTCATTCGATGTGAATAGAGTGTTAGATCAATTGAGATCAATAAAGCAATAGTACTCAGATGATTGTGATAAACACCGAATATTTTGTTTTACTATTATCATTTGAACGGCACGGGAACACATTTGCAAGTGTGTCATCATCATTGAACTGAAGGTGATCGGAAAGAGAGAAATTCGAATACAAAAAGTGATAAAGACATCAGACAATGTCAATAACAGGAATAAAAAAAATCTGAAAGAAACCAACTCATAAACAATATTAACATAATTAGAAAATGATTCGTTAAACACTGACGAAAATCCAGTTTGATCCCGTGCTTACGTTTTGACAACGCATTTTATTTTGATTTCGTCGAGCGAAACTGATGTACGGCATTTTCCATAGATTATTATTGAATTTCAATTAATATTTGTCAGAACAAAATCGAAATTAAGCGACGACTTACGTGTTACTTAAGTAATATCGTGCGCAAGTTTCAAGTGTATTTGCGGCGCATAGCACACCGCATTTGCGCGTGTAATAGACACACCAGTTGAATTTCGCAGTTTAATAGCAGATCAATAAGTAACATTAACCACTTATTTATTATTAAAACGACGAAAAATAATATCACTCGAATTATTAGCACAAATAATCCATTTTTACTGAACGGAATTTTCCTACGATTTTATCAATTGTCATTTGGTGGCGTCAAAAACGAGCTATTGTGGTCATTTGAAAATCATTAGAAGTATTGGCGATTGATTTTAAACGATTTTAAAGTGCAAAGGAATATTGAATTGGTGCAAGACACATTACAACGCAACAAAAAGGCAACGGATCGAGGATACGAAAACCGTACCAGTCATTTGACTCTAATAGTGCTAAAAATTTCTTTTTTGTAATTTGCATGATAGAGTCCATTCATAATGTAAGTGAAAAATGTTTTATTTTTAGTTATTTATTTATACAAATACTGATTTTTCTCTCATTGATTTGACTGTCAAACGACAATTCAAATAGACATGTTGATTTTTATGAGTGATTATGTTTATTCAACTTTCCCTAAAATCGAACTCTTGGATGCATATTTTTTTGGATTTTTCTTCGTCGCTTCAACCTACTGCCAAAATAATTCAACCTACTGCCAATAAATAGAAAGCATTCATAAGAATAAATTGACAAAATTTACGTTTAATTTGTAGAAACAAAGCCAAAACTTCATGAATGCACACAGTCGCAATGACATATATTTGCGCCATACAAGCGATCGCCAGTCAACCAAATAAGAACGTCGATATAAATATAATATTTAAATTGGCCATATATTCATATATCCATATAAATTTTTAACAATATAATGATGCGCTCGCTCGATCTATTGTCACATACAAATTGTATATTCCGTTTCGATTGTCATTGTCGTCGTCATCGTTGTTGTTGTTGTCATTTTTTGTTCATCTAAAAATAGATGCTGTTCATTTTAATGCGGCACTGTCGTATTAGTAGTGTCGATACACGAAGATAAAGAGTCAATGTGCTGTCTCTGTTTTAGGTTAAAAAATCATCGACACAAAAAACAATACGACGAAAATTTAAATGATTGTTTGATTCTGTGACGTGTTGGTATTTGTCTAAAATTTATATTTCGTCTCCTTAAGGTTACACAAATATTGAATTTGTGGCATAAACAAAAGTTGAAGGAAATATCCAACAAAACTAAGAGCGAAAAATATTAACAAATGAAATATATTTCTGGAAATTTGTTGCTTCTCCGCACTGAATGTGTTCGCACAAAAGTCTTTCTTTATTTCTTATACAGCATGATCATCGTATTTCTTATATCTAATGGAACAAATGACGAAAAACCAGATAATGATGTAGATTATGGAACTTGACAAAAAAAGCAACAACAATCACAAACAAATAATACGAATTCTCGTGCCGTAATTATGCAAAGAAAAACAAAGGTATACAGAACGGTTATGTACGTACGTAAAACCATGACGTGCGAAACGGGACGGCCTGAAAGTGCTAAGCGTTGCGGGAACCATGATGATCTTATCCAAAAAGGAAATTACCATTTTCATGTGTTGCTGGTATTTGTCGATTAGTCGACAAATTATTTCTTCTTCTTTTTATCACTGTATGGTTAATGCCTCAACTACGTCAAATTGGCGGCTACACTGGTTCTCTCTTTTGCTAAAAATAACACTGCACACATTGACAACAGTTTTTTTTTTGTTCCGTGATGTGTGACCTTATCACGGTGTGCAATGCGCAAATAGATTTTTGCATTTCATGTACAATTTTTATTGCATTCTATATATAATATAATAATTCTATTGAAGAGCCTTCGATTGGCCACGAATAGACTTTGTATTTTGCATGTCTATTTTTATCATGCTTTTCATGTAATCGAAAAACTGCAACGAAACCTTTTATTTTCCATTGAATATTTGTGTGTCTTTTTGTTTTTTCGTGAAAAAAAAAAGTTTATGATTTTCATCGTTTTATCGTGAAACGGTGTCCACCGTATTAGTCTTGCTCTATCTCTCTCACACTTTCTCGCGTTTGCTGGCGACAACTCTTATGATAGCAAAGCAACAGCACAGCAGTTTTAGCATTCGCAAACGCGTTTGTATATATATATATATTATTGATACGCTCTCTTGCTTTATCTCATTGAATGGCACTTGTTCTATTTTTAGATTCCAGTCCGTTCGCTTTGTTTGTATACTGTGTGTGTGGATATATGTGTTTCGGTGCGATTCAATGTACTTCGTCGTCGCGTTCGCGATATTCGTGCTTTAATCGTGATAATATGAAATAGAAGAATGAAAATAAAAACTCGGCTCTTGCTTCGAAACGCGCACGTTATGAATCGCTCATAATCATAAAGCTAGCTTCCACTATCCTCCATAAAACAGCTTTAATTGTTTTATTTTTGAAATTCGCATAGTTTTTGGTAGAATTCACGCGATGTGAGAAATCGCGCATGTAAAAAGAAAACATCTGGTTCTCGATTTAATGCCAATTCTCAATTTAATGTCAATTTGCGCTTGCTACTTGATTTCAATTTAAAAGATGCCTACAAAAATGGTTCAAGTATGAAAAGACACATTTACACGACAAAATGCCTCATATAATGTAATCAACCTAAATGTCAACCACAACGAAAGTTCTATACATACAAAAGCGTACAAATGTGCGGCTCGAATCACACATTTTGGTTTATTCCATGTGTATATCGGTCGAGAGAATAAAACATCACAACACTCATAAAAACGGAGACGATCGCAAGCGCACGTAGACGGCGCAAACCCGTTTAATCACTACATACACCATAAACATTCTTTGATATTCATGTGTGATGGTCGATCGTGCGATTTGTCAGTGCATGCGGGTTCTATTTTTGCGTCATCATACGATCGCATCGCTTCATATCTTGGCTGAATCGGCTCACATATTTCTGGTTTGTATTGGTTTTGTTAGTAAATAAACCCAGTCAATGGAAACAGCAATAGGTTTTAATTGAATCAGAAAGAGAACAATAGTTAAGCACGTGTACAATTGCAAATTACACGCACGATTTCATGCGTGTGTAGGGAAACAATTGAGCCAAAACCGCGTTGTCACTGATTAATGCGACATTTGTTTATTCAAAATGAAACGTATGCGACCGATAACAGCTTGCTAAATATTTTGTCATGTCATCATGTTTTCTCTTCAAAACAAATTGAACAAAAATTCCAATGGCATTGTTGCTTCTGCCATCGTAAGTTCGCATTGCTTTGTACGAAATTAACGCAGTCGATAATGATGAGTAATAAAAATCAAGTCATTGGCCAACGCGTTTTCGTTGTTTAGCGCGGCCAATCAATTCCGAAACATTCGTTGTGTTTACATTAGCAGCTGTACTCGTGACTTTCATTAAATCGGTTTGTTTATGGAAAAATTGGCCAGTTTATGAACCTCTAAAAAACCAAATAGAAATAACATAAAAAAAGCAACGTTCAAACAAATTATCTCTCGAAATAGAATGATTAGCGCCAAAAATGGGATAAGACGCACAATGTTGTATATACACAATATGGTGGTTAGCATCCTTATTACTGGATGTAATTTGTGCTAGAGAGAGAGAGAGAGAGAAAACAACAAATTTTGTACTGTGCAAATTCTTGTGTTGTTTCGTTTTCG